TATATATATATATATATATTTTTTTCCCCATTATAAAGCTTGTTCCCAATGTGGTACAAATGGACAGAACTCATGAACAAATCCCCCTGCTGAATTTTTAATTTTTATATTGTTCTGATGTCACTGAAAAGCCATTAATATAGTGGGCCACTAACAATTGCCGTTCCGATTACTGGCAGGCACAATTAGTGGAACACCTAAGCTGGAAACTCTCATTACTAAAGTTATTGAGAAATATAGGAACTCAGCAGGTGCTCGTTAACTTATTGACACCTTTTTGGAAAGTTGAGTTTCCATAAACATAATCCATTTTTTTTTAAAAGCACTGTCTTTTTATTCCAAAGTCCTGCCTACATTAGGACATTACTCATCCGGTTTACAGAAACTGGAAACCTGCACTGAGAAAAATATGGTAGCTTCCAGTGCAGACCTCCTCCTGAAACGGATAGTTTCCTGGCTTTCTCCGACTATTACTGGACATTGGACAAGTCACAATATCAGCTTCAATGTAATGGCATAGTTCGCATAAGTGCCGACTACACACAGCAAATACTGGCTAACTGATGAGACCCTAAGCTGTAAAGTCACCATAGTCATGTATAAAATGGCAACTGTGAACCTTACATTAAAATATTGATGTTGCTACAATGCATCACCCAAAGCATCTGAACAACGGTGCATGGTAAAGTTTCAAGATACATATTCTGCTCCTTTAACAGGCTGAGCTGATGCAAAACTGTCACTACTTAATGCAGATTAGGTACATAAATGGCCATTTTCTTGTCATGTGATGATAGAAATTGAAAGGGGATGTGCACCAAAGTTTCTCCCCAGGTGACAGTCGCCTTGTCTGCTTCTGGTACTCAGACCTGGCTGAAAAAAAGGAGCCATATCGATTTCTTCTATGCCCTTTTGGAAAAACTGCCAACTGCAAAAAAAGGCAGCCTTTATGTACTCTAATTTGACTGTGCATAAATAATTCTGATTTGTTGCATTTTCACAGGATGATAAATATATACGTAGTAGGGATGTCCCGATACCGATACAAGCATCTATATCGGGACAGATACAGGGCATTTTGTACTCTCAAAAGTACCCTTGTACTTGTCAAAATGCTCCGATACATAGCGCCGAAGCTTGCGCTATGTTTTTTTTTTTTTTACTTGCCTTGCCGAGCATCGCTTCACTGCTGCTCCGGTGGGCGGCGCTCCAGGTGGGGTCCTAATTTAGGTGGCCCGGCGACTGCCCAGAGGACCCCACTCGGAGCGCCGATGCTCCTCTTCAGCTCAGCGCCGCCGACGTCCTCACGTGTGAGAAAAATCGTTCGGCACCACAATCTAGGCAACAGTAAGTAAGGGCCTAGGCTTAAGTGGGAAGTTTAGTGTTTTGTGTGAACAACAAGAATCTATTGCTGCAGTGTATTCTATGTGTACTGTACATGTACTACATATAGAAAACACTGCAGCAATAGATTTACAATTCTGACCTGCTAACATGAATAGGTTAAATGATCCATAGTACATAATATGTACATAACATGTACATAACATGTAGTTGTACTACGGATCATTTAACCTATTCATATTATCAGGTCAGAATTGTAAATCTATTGCTGCAGTGTTTTCTATATGTAGTACATGTACAGTGCATATTCCCAATACAATACAATTCTGCAATAGATTTACAATTCTGACCTGCTAACATGAATAGGTTAAATGATCCATAGTACAACTACATGTTACCTACATATTATGTACTATGGATCATTGAACCTATTCATGTTAGCAGGGGATAATTGTAACTCTGTTACTGCAGTGTACTGGACGTGTGTGCTGTATATGTACTACGGATCATGATTTAACCTTATTCATGTTAGCAAGGCAGAATTGTGAGCGCCTCCCACAAGCTGAGCACCGAGACGCGATGCAGCGATCCTGCCCAGCGCCGACTACAGAGGCACCGCGTGAGGCAACAGGGATCGGAGTGAAACTGTGAGTGAGGGAAGCTGGGACAGGGCTGGCTGTAAATCTATTGCTATAGTGTACTGTAAGTGTGTACTGTATATGTAGTACATATATACAGCACACACCCACTACACTGCAGCAATAGCTTTACAATTCTCCCCTGCTAACATGAATAGGTTAACTCATGATCCATAGTACATAATATGTAGTTGTACTATGGATCATTTAAAGTCACCTGTCCCTTTAAGAAAAAGTATCGGTAATTGGTATCAGCAAGTAAAATGAGGGGAAGTACTTGTACTTGGTCTTGAAAAAGTGGTATTGGGACATCCCTAATACGTAGGTAAAACATTCACATAAGACAGAACATTGAATAGGAAGGTAAAAATGCAGGAGATACCTTGTGTGTGGCTAAATGCATATACTGTGGATATAAGGTGCAAGCTTTTGAGAACACTTAAGTTTCCTTTTTTAAGTGTGAAAACTAAGCTTGAATAAGGAAACTGTTTTCAGAAGCTAACAAGTGAAATAAATGGCAAACGCACTCATCAATTCATAACTAGCTTTAAAGCAAGGTACACATGGAAGGGCTTTACACAGCACAAGAGCAAAAAGTTCCCAGCACCCTCACCAGCCAGCCTGCAAAAAAATATTAATTAAAATAATAACAACACACCATCAGGGTTAAAAACAGGTTTTAGTTACACAACTTTTGCAAAACATGTGGAAGCCACGCTGCCTCGTCAAGACTCTTCTGTGTACTGTGGTCCTAACTCTAATGTATGAGAACCTCCATAGCAAAGGATGAATTGGGTGCAGGTTTGCCAGGAGGTAGCCCTACTTAAAAGGCACAAGGACACAACAGAGCATCACAATGACAGCCAAAGCCCCCAGTGCGTTCCCCACACCAAATCCAATAAGTAAAACAAATGGAAAACGCACTCATCAAATTTAAAACTAGCTAAACTGATGAGTGCGTTTGCCATTTGATTTACTTGTTGTTTTTGGTGTGGGGAACATACAGAGGAGCCTTGATGAGGCAGTGTGACTTCCACATATTTTGCAAAAGTTGTGCAACTAAAACCTCTGTTTTTAACCCGAATAATTAGATAGCGTATTTATTTTTATTTTTTTTTGCAGGCAGGCCAGGTAAGGTTGCTGGGAAATTTTTGCTTTTGTTTTCAGAGGCTTTCACCTCCAAATGAATTCAGTTAGCCACATAAAAGGTATCTTCTAAATGTTTTACTTTCCTACTACTACCCATGGCAAATCACAATTCAACACCCTTGTACAGTGAATAATATACCTAACCCAGCTGGAATTAATGTAGATTTTGAGGCCTGATTATCTATTAACCCAAACTCTTTTTAAGTATTTAAGAAATCCATATTGAGTAGTTTATTGGACCAAACTGTACCTTCTTCTTCACTAGATGTCTTAGGACAACCATGGGGGAGATAGGTCAACTGAACTTTGCGATTGATTCCTGAAAAGTGTCCATACCTTGAAAAATATATAAATAATGATTTGGTGAACACAGGCAAACAAGCTGCAATTACATGTATTTGCAGTAGCAGACACATAAGACCACCGATATATTCACAATCAATCCAAGTCTGCATGTATGCTTTGACTTTGAAGTTTGGTTTGGTGTTTGGTGTGTTTGGTGCTTGACAATAACAAATCCACCTTACTGCAAAGAGATTAAAGTGTAAGTAAAACCAAATTTATGTATTTTTTTAGTGTTTTCTTTTTGAGAAGAGCCGGGCAGTTACTGTCGGCCGTGCACTTGTTAGAGATGTTTCTCCTCCCCCTGTCTCTGATATCGGGCGTTGGGGGATGTGATGGGAACAGAGACCTCTGTCATTCTTGTCTATATCCAATTTCCCGGTGACAGATGTTCCCCTTAATTTTGTTCTGGTGCTACAGGGACAAGATGTGAGGGAAACACCTCCATAACAAGTGAAGTCACTTAGAGAAAGTAGACAGAAGTCTCACAATACTCCTCCCTACACAATACTCCCTATCAATCTTTAAAAAAAAAGAAGTTTTGGGTGCCTTTAAGCCCCTGTGAATAAAGCAATGTATTGTGTTATGCATACTAATGATAAAGATGAAAGGACATCGACAATAACTTTTCTTTTGAAAAATTTTATTTTGATGGAAAACATCAAAGGAAATCTGTGACAGGTTCATGTACAGAAATGTATGGAGCTTCAACAGACAGAGTAATTGGACTTGTTTATAGTGGAAATGACACTAAAGAGGTGTCCTAGTTAGAAGAAATAAACCCTTTCAAATATGCCACAAATTTAAAGCCAGGAATGGCCAGGTTACAAGCAGACATCCTCGGTAACTAGAAGAGTTGATGTCCCTTTATAAGATTTAATAGCAACCATATTTTTTTAAATGTTTGCAATCTAGGTGGGTTCTAGAACATTAACGAATGTCCCTCTGCGTTCTCACTTCTAATACACTGTATTAGATGTGATGACTTTCGGGTCATTAAAATGCCGGAGCAGAGGGGGAGAGAGGCTTTGAGGACTGCTCTAGCAGCCAGGCAGGATCCGTTGGGTATTCCTCTTTTTATTTTAGACCCTGAGCACTTAACCCTTGCAGAGCGGGGGTTATTTAGTTTAATAAAGGACAGTGTATGAAAGTTCCATGCTTTTTTTTTCTTTTTACACCCATTGTTGACTATCACTGCTACTGATCTCTTATACTGTCTTTACAGCCACATCCTGTCTACATTCATACACTCCAGCAACGGCTACACATTATTTCTCAGGGCAGGTTTCCCAATAGTGAGTACAATGCACCATTCCTGTGCAATGTGTGCTTGTTGTGGCCATTGAGAGAACATGCGATAGGGTGACAAAGTTGGAGAGCAATTAGGAGACAAATTAGGGATAAAGCACTGTCACCCTGTAACTGTAAGTGCCTATTCAAGGTCCTCCATGGCAGGATCACCAAGTATTAAATCATGAAAGCTATCAATTTAAAAATACTGAAGATGACTTTTGAAATAGCGTTAACATGTTCAAGCTTATTTAAGATTTGGGTTTATCATTATTTTTCAATTCTGTCATTAAAGGCAAAGGGGCATATTTAAAAAGTAGTGAAATTGACAATGACCAAACATTTGCTGCAGGTGAATGTTCCGGATGCATGTGATTAAAATCACAGTAATTTATTCCCCATCAGTAAATGTTTGGTAAAAAGACACATTCATTGCTTTATGGCTCATGCACACCGCTGTTTATTGCCCAGAACAGCATATGGCCAGGTTTTTAAAGGAGAACTATGAGGTGAGTGCTTTTCACTCACCTCATAGTTCTAGCCGACTTATGACAATGAGACTGTCACAGGTCGGCTCAGTAGATCAGGAGGTGAGCGAACACATACCGGGTTCGCTCACCTCTCGATCCTGTCACGGCTCTCTGCCGTGACAGGGGGAGGGGCTGGATTCCCCTCTCCCCGCTCCGATCTGCCAGCGCTGACTGGCGGAACGGACGGGGAGGGGGCGGGTACAGCTGGCTTTGCCTCTAGATAGGCAGAGCCAGCTGTAACTCACGCAGCTGGGCAGATCCCGTTGTCTAAGTCGGGATCCGCTCCGGCGTCTCAGTATACTGCGAGCTGTAGCTCGCGGTATACTGAGCTTAGGGTAACGGGAGGACGCTAGTTTGTGTCCTCCCGTTACCCTAAGGAGAACTATGGGAAAAAACACTGACCCCATAGTTCTCCTTTAAGTTCATCTGTGACTACTCAGCCTGTGCAAATGAACAACAGGCTGAGAGGCTTGGCAGCTATTCTCATGTATTTGCACAAGGAGCAAACATCTATTGTTAGGGGCAGATGAGCAGCCCTAGATTCGAACAGTCTGCATACAGAGCTGCTCATCTGCCCCTAGCCTCATATAGTTGAACAGTTGCAGACAGCTTCAGCCTGTCATTGATTTGTACAGCTACCTGTCCGCAACAAAAAAATAAACACCTGGCCATACCTGCCCCACATATACGCTATCCTGGGTGCTTTAACGGCCAAGAATGGCCATGTAAAAGAGTCCTTCTAAATATCCCACAAAATGTTTTCCTACTCAAGAGCACAGGCTTAAGGTGCCCATACACTGTTCGAATTTCGGCCGTTTTTTGAGGAACCGGCCGAAATTCACACAGCGTGTGCTGCTGTCGGCACCCTTACGATCGGCATCCCTCAATCAGCTGATCGAAGGAGCCGGTCGGAAAATCTTCGATTGTTCAGAGCCGGCCGGAAAATCTTCGATCGTTCAGAGCCGGCAGCCAATGAGCTGCCGGCTCTGGTCGTGTATTCTGAGAGGGGCCGGCGGCACCTGTCAGAATGCAATGTAGACAGCGGGATTCTTTGAACAACACACTATTAGTGTTGGAGGAATCGGGCTTAGTTTTCTTGTTCAGCACACTAGTTAAAACGAAAAAATAGATCAGTGTCAGGCCAGCTTTATTCATTAGTAACAATTGAAAAATCTATGCACAATATATCAGCGTGTCTATGAAGAAGGCTGGAAGATGTTTATGATTATGGACCAGTTTGGGAAAAGGGCAGGTAATTATAGTATGGCCCTCCATAGTCACCATGGAAACAAAGATCATATTAATATTATAGACTTATAGGAAATGTGTACTTCCAGCATTTGCACTGAATCATTCCGACTTACATCTCTAACACTGTTTTAAGCTGCTCCAGCTTTGCTTTGCTTTCCTCAATTTCAGAATCATTGTTCTGTCCAAGCTCAACAAGAAGATGTCTTGCAATGTCCAGGACTTCCTGGTAGCATAAAAAAAAAAAAAACATTTTTAACAAAATGAAAACCTTCAAAACACTGGGCTAATATATCTTTAGATTTGGCATGAGGCGCATTCATACACAACATGACTTACCTGCAATTGCTTTGGTTTTTTCAGTTTTAATTTCCCAGTCTTGTAGCCATGACATTTTTCAAATAGATCAAAAAACCTTGGAGAATGAATTAAAAGTAAAGATCTTTCTTTCCCATTAGGTCAAAACATTATCTTTTTTTACATCCGTTGGGATAAAATGCTATATTAGTTTTAATGTAAAGAACTTTATTTGCCTTCAACAAAAAGTGAAAAGCCATCCAAAATGAATTATTTGTATGATTTCTGACCTTGCTCTTCTTTTTACTGGACTCTGCAGATTAGAGTAACAAGTCTTCTAAGGTTAGCAATTTACCCCAGCGTTTCTAGAACTTTTTTTCTGTCACTGCACCCTTTAAAGTATGCAAAATCTCTAAGCACCCCAGTCTAAAATGTAAAAAAACAAATAAAAAAATGATGTGTGGTTACCCCCAAAATCTATGCCAAACCCAGATAGGGATCTGGTGTGGATTTTAGAAAGGAACCCCATGCAAAAAAAACAAAAAAAATTAAAAACAAAAAAACCCAAGCAATAAAAATATAGTATAACCCCTTCCCACCAGAGTCCCCCCCCCCCTCCTTTACATCAGGAGTTTCTGGGGGCTCATCTGCACCATGGAAATGCATGATACTGTGCAAACATTTGAAGGCACCCCTGACAATGCCAAAAGGCACCATGGTTGAGAAAGCCTGATTTACCCTATCAGTTGTGTTCACTTGCAGTACACTGATATCTTTTTTTCCCAAAACATAAGTCAACAATTAAAAGGCCATACAAGGTTTTCTGCGCATAAACAAAAAGGGAAGATGGGTGTGGTAATATTTACACACATATTAAAATAAAAACTGTATAAATAGAAATTTGTAGGCTATTGCTGACCTTTCCCTTCTGAAAATGCTACATGCCTGGTAATTTATTGCTTCAATACCCTAAGACCCCAATTCACACCATGGCGAAAGTGTTTCAGCACACTTCACGCACTTTTTTTAGCATGTTTCACAGGCGTTTTCTGTTCATATGTAATAGTGTTTAATGACTAATTTTCAGTTCCATGAAAAGCAGTCTCAGCTGCAAAAACGCTCTTAAACAAAAACGCACAAAAAAAACGCAGATCGGCGCGTTTCAATTGAAGTCTATGGAGCAAAATTATCTTATGAGTGCCACAAAAGAAACTCGGGGATTATTTCAAACAACAGGAGTATTTTGATGTGCGAATCAGCGTGTTTGCGTAAACGGCCCCCATAGAAATAAATGGGATTTTAATTTGCATACGTTTCAGCGTGGAAAACGATAATACAAAATCACCTGCACTTTATACATCATACAGACCTTGTTGAAAGGTTGGTGCTTGAAGTGACAACACGGATGGCGCCATATTCAGATACAGTCCATAATAGAAGCCACCAGCACTCGATGATATGTGCAAGAAGTAAAGCACTTTTTAATGAATTGTCACATGCGTCATTCAGCCAACGTTTCGGGGGCCACGCAGGGTCCCTTCTTCTAGGCGACATAGTGAAAGGAACCCTGCGTGGCCCCAAAACGTTGGCTGTATAATGCATGTGACAATTTATAGGAGAACTATGAGGCGAGTGAAAATCACTCGACTGTCACTCACGGCTCCCTGCAGGGACTCCCCCCCCCCCCAAGTGCTGGTGACTATTATGGTCAGCGCGGAAAACAACCCACGACGAAAGCCCTGGTGTGAGCGGGGCCTTCGAGTTTATAACTGAGAGCATCTAATTTCTTGAAGCACATATTTCATTCTAGCAACACTCCATCACTATGAAATGTTACAACGCTTAAATCTTGGAAACCCAACATGCACATGAGGATTTTATAAACTTTTATGCACTCTCCAAGTGTTGCTAGAGCAATGATCTAACAAACCTTTGCAAGTACACCATTGTTCTTACCTTTGATGCCTTACTTCCATTTTCATTTTTTGCTTTGGTGTCCGATCACCATGTCTGATCACTGCAATAACACAACGAAGCTCCATCCTTAAAAAACAAAACAAACAAAAAACAAGGGTACTAATTAGATAAGGAAATGGTTACATGTAAGGGGCCAAGGGGGCATGTTACAACTTGCCAGCATCAGGATCGCTAACAAACCATTTACCTGTTTTAATGGAATTGCTCCCCGCTACCCGGACCATTTAGATGTCGCCCCCTTGCTAGTGAGGGAGATTCGGCAGCATTTCATGCCAGTGAAGGAACCATTCCACAGAAGTATGTGGAAGCCTCTCCCGGTTGATTCTGCTCTTGGCGATGTGTTGCAAGCAGCAGAATCGCTTGTGTGACATCAGCCCAACAACCTTCTAAAGTGTAATACAAGGACTGCATTTGCTTGTAGCGTATATATGCTGGAAAATGTCTTACTATGTAAACAAGAGAATATTAAAATGAGGACCTAAACTTTTTTCTACAGAACTACAAGAAGGCTCATGAGGCAAACAGTGGAGGGTTGCCTATGTTAACATTTGTAGTAACAATTTATGCTAAGCATTTAAAGCTAAGGGAACATAAAACCTTGTTCACTTACATATTCCAATATGCAGAAAAAATGCAGTTGTTCAAGGAATACAAAAAAAAAAGAATCAACAAATTTCACCCGATACCTAAGTCACTGTAGTAATTATTTCACTTGACAAACAGCCACTGATGTAAAGAAAAGAAAATAACTAGTTGCCTGGCCGCCATGTAGATCCTCCGGTTACAATACTTCTCTGTATACTTTTTTCTAATATCGCTGGCTGTAAACTTCTTCTGGTCAGAGAATCAAAGTATGATAGCCAGAGACAGCCAGGCCACCCCGACCCACATACTTCCCTTAAAAACAGGTTTCCGTTAAGAGAAAACAAAAAGGCTCCAAAACATGTTAGAACATATCTTGGGTAAGGCTAGCCATACGCGTTTAGAATTCTCTCATTCAGTCCCCCGCGAAGAGAAATCAAATGAATGCCCATCCATGCTAAAAAGCATGGATGGAGACATCTCCCCTGCTGCCCATTATATTCAGATAGCTGCAACACCTGTCACTGAATGCGTGAGCAGTGACTGCATCTAACTGGATGAAGTTACGGTCTGGCATGACAATTCTCCACACAGCTCCTTTGATTTTTTTTTCAATCAGACTCCTTTTTCTTTTTTCTGGAGCCAAGTTGTTCCAACAGGGCCACCCATGGCTTAAATTTCATTTAATTTGAGCCATGTATGGACACATTTGGATTAGGTTGTCTTTTATGTTTAGACCTCAGAGCTTTCCGTCATGTTTTCCTATACAAGGCTTACAGGAAAAAATATTTGTTCTCTTTATTTAAAAATAAAATAAGCCATCTCTCCTTATGTGTATTGTGTCTAAGTTTTTCTGAACCAAGCTTGAAAATTAATACATTTCATTTCACACAATCTGAAAGGTTCCTTTATAACCAGCCGGTCACCAAACAGAGCAAAGACCCAGCGAGGCAGTTGTACAGAGATCTGTCATTATAATACAGTTCTAAAATACTTTTCTGCTGTTTTTCATATAATTATATACATTTGAACTCCTCGTGGATGCATTATGCATGCATTCAGAGGAGGAGAAATGCAGAATTTTAAAGATAGATCATTTTCTGAGAAAATAAAAGGAATGGACAATTTAGAAGGAGGAAGCTTAAAGCAGAACTATGGGGTAAGAGCTTTTCCCCATAGTTCTCTTAAGGGTCACGGGAGGACATATACTAACCTCCTCCCGTGACCCAAAGATCGCTATTGAATGACATTAGTGGTCATTAAAATGGACTATTGCTGAACAATACAGCTTGGTGTGCTGGTGACATCCTTTTTCTACTCCAAAGCTCAGTATATCACCAGCTACAGCTCGTGGTATACTGAGACCGCCGCAGCTGGGATGGATCCTGACATTACTGTCGAGATCCACCCAGCTGTGTGAGTGACAGCTGGCTCTGCCTATCTAGAGGCAGAGCCAGCTGTACCCTCCCCCGGCTGTTCTTTCAGTCAGCGCTGGAGGATCGGAGTGGGGAGGGAGGGGGAATCCCTGCAGGGAGCCGTGACTGACCGTCATGGCTCTCTGCAGGGAGATTATCGAGAAGTGAGCGAGCGACGGTATGTGTTCGCTCACTTCTTGATCTAATGAGCCGATGTGTGACAGTTTCATTGTCACGCGTCGGCTCAAACTATGAGGGTGAGTGATTTTCACTCACCTCACAGTTCTCCTTTAATGACACCAATCTCTCAAGATGCATCTGGAGGCACCTTGGCCAGGAAAGGGCTGGGGATCCAGTTGTCTTGTATTTATCTTCACAATATAACATTTTTTTGCACAATCTATGACATTTTTGCCTATTTGTGGGAGCACTCATGACTTTAACTTGTAATTCAGCTACACAAGCAGAACAGAAAAAAAAAGTCTGCAAAATCCATTAACTTTTCTTCCAGTTTATCTTGATATAAAGAAAACTGCAGCTACTCACTGACAGTATGGCAACTACACACTGTACTAATGAGTAAAATTGGGTAAAAGTGAAGGAAGTGTTAGCCCTGCTATGTAGTAGATCTGGTAAATATTTTGGAACATGTTATCATATATGGAAAAGCAGCCCACCCCTTGTCCTTGCTAGTATATGTTCTAAAGAAAAAAACGATTGTGCTTACATTGTTCCGGATGTTGTGGGAACTATGGGTATATCTTCTGCTTCCAGCGGTATTGACCAGGGAATGTGGAACTGAGGAGCTAGCTCACGCATAATGATATTTCTGAAAGGTTACAAACACAAACCTCATAAGCTTAAAAATGATCAAATGTTCATTTGAATTTGAACACACAAAGTTCCCGACAGCAATTTGTTGGCTCCTGAAGATTTTTTGCAAGTTTTACAAAGCAATGTTACTAAAGCATAACACATGAAAATATTTATTTCTGTACAAGAGGGGTCTCAAACTCAATTTACTCGGGGGCCAATGGACACATTTTTTTAGTCCCGTGGGGGACGCTTGCCAAAATTCATGCTTCAAAATAAAATGTAACTATATGCCAGTGTTAATGTCAGCACATGTTACAAGCGGCAACTGTCACCCATTCAAGTTAATGATCAGGTGACGGCCGTTGCATGCAAGTGCCTGCACACCGCATGTAATGGTATGTGATATGATTACATGCAGTTAGGATTGTTTTTGTAACTGCACATAAATCATATCCCGTACCATTACATTCGGTGTGCAGGCATTTACATGCAGTGGCTATCACCTGATCATCAACTTGAATGGGTGACAGTCGCTGCATGTAAATACCGTATTAGGGATTCCTGCTGCAGGAAAATGCAAGTTCCTAACACAGGAATCCTTAATTGCACCTGAAAGATAAAATAATACACCCCACCCTGCACACAAGTAATACACCCCCCCTGTTCCAAGCCCCCACCCCGCACACACATATACTCCCCCCGCCCCCGCAAGCCCCCTCACTGCATACATCTTTGCAGGGAGGAGGCACGATCCCTGGTGATCTAGTGGTTGATTAGAAGGTCTTGTTATAATTATGTTATAACATATTATGTTATAATATGTTATAACATATGGTCTAATGTTATAATATTAATGTTTATGGTATATAAATGTATACCACATTTGATTAACAGCACCTGGCTGCTACTTAGCCTCTATGGAAGCAGTAAGGGTGCACTTAGAGAAGCCATGTGTGAAAAACTATGTTGGATTTATGTTTGTAAAATAATGACACAGTGTAATATTTCATGTGTTGTTGCTCATCTGAGGTTGTACTTGGCCGGATTTTAAGATCTGCTGAGGACCAGATGATTTTTATTATGTCCCGATACTTAAAACAATAGAATTCAAAG